CGATACATGCGATACACACATACGTACAATAGCTAGTAATACATTATACGTGTATTATACATAATACATGATGCATGCTACATTATTAGCTCTTAATGCGTTAGAACATGATAATAGGCACCAGGGTGTTTTCGTCGCGGTTTACTAAACGCTACGATTTGAAATATAGCCTATACTGCTAAAAATGATTTGCTTGAAATGAGAAAAAAAATCATTGAAATAAGATATATAGTCTTATTTTAAGATTATTTATCTTGGGAGTGAGGTAGGAAAATAAATCTTGATTAATCTACCCAAGAATACCTCAAATATGAACAACTTAAAACAAGAAACAACGTTAACACACACACACACACACACACACACACACACACACACACACACACACACACACACACACCGCATACGTTTATATCAAAATAACGTGCTAATAGTGCAAGAACATACCTATATGAGAATTTTTGTTTATTTGGTGTATTTGACCCATTGTTTTTCTTATTCGTCATGCTTGCCTTTTATCAGAAACAATGGTTCCATGTTTTTATTTGATTTTTTTCATATAACTTGATTGTTATTCCTATTTCCTTTCCTATTCCAATTCTGCTATTTTTGATCTTGGCATAATTTCTTACGTGAATAAAGAGCCCTGCTGTCTGCCTGGTATGGTATCCTTGGCTAAAACATCAATCTAATATATATTTGAGTTCGTATGTATGTATGTATGTATGTATGTATGTATGTATGTATGTATGTATGTATGTATGTATGTATGTATGTATGTATGTATGTATCTTCCCTATAGGCGGCCAAACCGCCCAAGCGATCTCGATGCAATTTTCACAGGGCCATCTCTTATACTCGGGGAGTGTTCCTAGCTGAAAAAAACCTGCCAAACCGTCAAACTCACCGAAAAATCCGTGAAAAACCCCTCAATTCGTCAATCTTCACACAATGTCAGCACAGCCTATGACTATTGATTTTCTTGCCCTCACCTCATGATCTCATCAGCTGCTGGTAATGTGAAACCGAAACCGAAATCAAAACTAAAACAGAGCATAACCGCGACCAGTTCAGAGGTACTACTCACTCTCAGTTCAGAGTTTCAGTTTAGATGCTACGATCTGAGAATGCATTGTACCATTCCAAAGCTATGCATTTTCTGATTCAATACAAAAATTTCTTAATTTCAATGTGCATGGTTGCGCGCCAAGCATTCACTAGACAATATCCAGTGGACACAGACCCCACTCGCTGGCCTGTCTCTATCTATACTATATATGGAATTTCTTTTATTCGTCGTACGATCTCACAATGGATAGCTAGCTGTACGTGGGGAGCTCAACAGTTGGATACGCCAGGAATCTCTACATATTTGCACCAGAGAATAACACGAAAAACATTGTTTATCAAGAGGCTTTCAAACGAAAAGTCCAACCCATTCGTGCATGCTGTTATATAACAATAGCTTTTTATAGCGCCTGCAGGACGGAGCTGATAATTTGAATGTCTTTATATATGCACGGTTAACCATGCAATATGTATGCTTGATATATATATATATACATTGCTTGAACGTCTTCTGGCATATATAGGTGTCTATAGACGTTACTCAATCCTTTTCACAGCACAAGTGAAACTCTACAATAAATTGAGGGTTATCACCATAGAAATAATATAGATAACCATATTAGGTTATCTATATTATTTCTATGGTTGTCACGCAATTTTTTAGAATATAATTATCAACATGCGCCTATATATAAGAAAACTAGAATTTAACATTAACACGAAAATAGGATTATTATTCTTGAAACTAGAAACAAACCCTAGATAAATAATCTTAAAATCTTGTCGAGATTTTTGAAAATTTTTCGAAAAGTTGGAATCTTAAAACTAGATAAATTTTCCAAAAACAAGATAATTTTCTTGATTTCAGATCTATTTTCTAAGTAAGAAAAAGCTTTTTTGCTGGCCCTTCACAATAGCGTAATTGGAATATCATTACATAGACTGATCTGCAATCATAATATACTAAAGATATAATATATAAAATAGAGTGTGATAGGAATCATTATTAATATAAATATATAGCTTTTCATGACGCTGCGCAATTAATGCCAGTTGTGCGGAAAATGGGGGTGCGGGACTTTTTCGAGATTTAAACAAAATATATAATGTAAGTAAAGAGTAGAGTTATCTCGCATAGAATTAGCAATTATTCTCATTAATCGCGCAAATATTACGGAATTAAAACATTAGCCGTTAAAACATGATTCTGCGATGCTTAGCCTGTTGATTCCCTATAGGTTTCTTAGAACGACAATTATTTCTAATTATAATTTGTTATTTTATAGCACACCTATAGATCACGGTGTGATAATGTAGAAGATAGCATGGGCAGTCGGGGAAATGGCGTCGATACGGTTCTGTTCGATACGATAATGTTCACACCGAAATATAACCGCCCGCATTTCTGTATGCATTAGACGAAGCAACGAGATTTCGATTTACTGCGTTTTTACCAGTTCTCAATTCGTGTTCGAATAAATTGCTATTCAATCCAGCTTCACATGTGTGCCACTCCGTATCTTACATTATATGCCTACAGCCTACCATAGTAATCAGGGTCAACCCGCTAGTGTGACGCGTGCGGCTGTACAGTAGAAGCACAAATATATAAATTATATAGGGTGTCTCCGCATGGCATCCTCCGCGAATACATGCCTTGCGATTCGGAAGCAACATCTGCCGGTGTGATTAACACAACCATTGCAAAATATCCAAAATGACCACAATCATATTTGTAAATGTTTCTGTAAACAGAAACGCACCTGTTAATTGAAGTACGATATTAGTGAAGAGAATTATGGATCAAAAACCTAAACCACTCCTATCCTAACAATGTTATAAAAGGGCAACTTATACCCCTCTTATCTGATCTCAATATGGCGGCGGGGACTTCGATATGGCTTATTAGCGATAGACGCAAACAAGCCTTTATGGAAATGAAACATTAATTTTGTATACGTGTGAGAAATGCCTGAGAATGAATAACACAAAAAACCATTCAGTCAGTTAAAGTTACGAATTAATGACAATTATACCGTTGTGAGATTGTCTCGGCTAAGTATGCCATTATGCTGAGCAGACGCTCCCGTAATTGCCTCAGGTATATTACATACCTGTATATATATATATATCAGGCATACTACATACCTATATATATACATAATATTATATACCCCAGGTATACTATATACTTGTGTACGTACCTCCTGTATACTACATACCTGTACGTATACCTCAGGTATACTACATACTTGTACGTATACCTCAGGTATACTACATACTTGTACGTATACATGCAGGTGTGCTACATACCTGTATGTATCCTCAGGTATACTACATACCTGTACGTATACCTCAGGTATACTACATACCTGTACGTATACCTCAGGTATACTACATACTTGTATGTATACCTCAGGTATACTACATACTTGTATGTATACCTCAGGTGTGCTACATACCTGTATGTATACCTCAGGTATACTACATACCTGTACGTATACCTCAGGTATACTACATACCTGTACGTATACCTCAGGTATACTACTACCTGTTACGTATACCTAAGGTATACTAACTACCTGTACGTATACTTCAGGTATACTAATACTTGTATTATACTCAGATATACGACATACTTTTATTTTGTCTTCAGCCATGGAAGGAAGCTATAGCGCTCTTTTATGATTTCATATTTCATTACTTTGAAATACTACGTCACCGATTAATTATTATGGTTAAAAAAAATGGTGATATATGGCGTTTTTAATTTTTTATACTCGAAATATGCGTTTCCGAAAAGAAAATTATATGATCATGAAAGTTCCGCGCGGATAGCATAAGGCTTTCGGTCTCCGTCTGGCCATGTGCAAAAAAAAATTACTCGTCACCCGTAGAATTTCTGGAAACGTACCGTTTGGAAAAAGAGGTGAATAACTCTAAGTCTAAGATATAACTGAAATCATCGGCTGACGCAACGGAAAGACCATAGCGCCGTAGCACTGCCTGCATGCCCCCCCCCCACTTCCGCCGCTGCGGGGCATAGCCAACCATTACAGCGAGGGAGTAGAGTGCATAATAGCGCCAGCTGTGCAGGTGCTCGTGCACACACGCACGCGACTGCGTCGTCTGGAGTCGATATGCTGCCTACAATCGCACGCCGTTGCCCCCGTCCGCGTAACAACCGCGATGCGAATAACAAACGCGTAGCGCTCGCACCGTGCGGTAGCCGCCATGTGTGTGTGCGTGCAAACATGGACCTGTTAAACGGAGCGAGTCTGACCACTGTGTTGCCGTGGCGCGGTGCCTGGTCAACAGCTGCGACCGCTGATCACACGAAGGGCTCTGCTAGCTGGCTTCCGCCGCGCTGGACTAGCTTCAGCGAGGCTGGCGCTTGCGAGCACTGCGTATCACTTGCGTCAGCCTGAGCGCTCGCGGCCGCCACTCACGCACATTATCGCGTCATTCTATACAATCATACAATGCGCGCGCGTGTCTGTAAACGACAAAGCACACGCGCACACGCACACACAAACACACGTGTACGCACACGCAGCACACAAACAGCACGTGTACACAACGCATCGCAAACGCACACACACGCAAACACACACACACACACACACACACAGAGCACGCACGCCACACACACACACCACGCACACGCGACACGCACTCACACACGCCACACGCACACGCACGCGCACACGCACACCCACGCACGCGCACACGCACACACGCAAACCCTCACACACGCACTTTCCACGCGTGTGTGCACGCGCGTTACGCTAGCTGGTGCGGGTAAGGCTTCGGACACGGCACAGTAGCTTGGAAGATCATGGCGCAGCTGAACGGCACAGCGGTGCTTGGTCGACGGAGGAGTAGATGGAATCGTCTGCGTACTCGATGGAACAGACGTGGAGTTATTGAGGTAGATCCAACCCACCGCTGCTACAACCTACTCAAATGCATCGGTATCGGTCTAAAAGCAAGCGTCGAAGGTGAAATGGTAAGTACCGTCAATGCATGCGTGCGTGCGTGCGTGCGTGCGTGCATGCATCCATCCGTGCGTTCAAGTGGTGTGGCGTGCGTGGGTGGGTGCGTGTGTGCGTGCATGCGTCCGTGCGTGCATCCATCCGTGCGTTCAAGCGTGTGCGTGTGTGCGAGCGGATGTGCGTGTGCGTGTGAATACCTGTGTGTGTATGTGCGAGCTCCAAATGCAGATGCGTAAGATTTACAGTGTGTGAGGAAAGATATAATTATAATAACGAATATGAATAATAGATGTACTCGATGCGTATATAAATGAAAGCGCACGTGTGGACTTCAATACACACACACATACACACGCACGAACACACACACACACACACACACACACGCACAAGCACACGCATGCACGCGCGCGCCACAACAGAACCACCACGCACACACACACACGCCACAACAGCGCAACAACACACGCCACACACACACACACACACACACAAACACACACACACACACACACACACACACACACACACAACGCACGCACACACATGCACACACGCGCGCGCGCACGCACGCACGCACGCACGCACGCAGCGCACACACAACGCACACGAGCACACACATGCCACACACACACACACACACACACACACACACACACACACACACACAACACACACACACAAACACACTTACGCGGTGCGCACACACAGAAGGACTCTCACCCACGGTACGCATGTCAAAGAAGCTCTCATCAACACACATGTTCTTTCCTTCGAAGCCAGCCGACCACAGAATAACATGGTGGTAGAAATGGGCAGCTACCATGCCAATACCTATATCATTAAGATTAGTTCATGCAGATAAGCATTTCAGTGATTAACCGTGAGTTTAATTGCGGGAGTGCTCATTAGGAATTTCCCACTTGGGCAGGTATAATGGCCTTTACACATTTATTACGATGTTTCGCAATACGAGCGTACGAGGTGGGCTTAATTGGCAATTTCGTGCTCACGCATGGCACTGCGTGCACTACTGTTTATTACATATCCGTCACGCGTAATGCCTTCTGAACGCAGTAGGTAATGGGTTCATGAGGCTTATTTGCGTATTTCCAAACATAAACGACACATGGACGCTCAGAGCCTAACAACTCAAAACACAGCCCGGACACGCAGCACGCAGGCAGGCACGCAGGCACGCACACACACACACACACACACACACACACACACCAAACACACCCGACACACACACCCACAGTCAATCAGAACGAGAAAGAGAGAGAGGGAGAGAGAGAAGGGAGAGAGAGAGAGAGAGAGAGAGGAGAGAGAGAGAGACACACACACGTGTTTAAATATATCGCTTTATGCTAGTTGTGTGTTTACGCTTTATGTTAACGGAGCAAAAACGTGATCACAGAGTGGAGGTAGGCAATGAGTTTTGTAAATCACGAATATTACAGAGGTCCGTAACTATGACAACGCGCGTACGCTACTCTCCGACAATATGCTGCAACATACATCCCCAACTATATTAAAATGTAGCAGTTAATTCTAAAAATTAGGCAATGGTCTAGAAACGTTGTCATTTTTGGTTATGGTATAGTTAGACTAGTGTCTTTAGTTTGTGATGAAGTAATGTGTGTTGTATGATTTTCTTTACACTATACGCGTGACCTATATACCACGTGACTGGGCTTCCAGAATCAATAGAGACTCACACATAGATTTTGTGATACCTAGATTTCCATTAATGATTAGCGCAAAAAAACTGGCACATTAAATCGCATTAATTGTTTTAAGTTTCGTAATAATCTGCGATGACAGGCACTGCGCGTATAAGAGCAATCAACATGCACTTCAAAACTTATACTAAACAAAAGACGCTACACTGTGCCGTCAGGTACCACCCTCTAAATATTCTATGAATGGCTTCATATTGTACTGAGAGGCGAAGTTAACTAGCGACATTATATAACCACTACATAGAATAATTCGCATATGGGATTTGTTTTGCTTTCAAATAACTAGATACGACGAATTCCTTTATCGATATGAACCTTTTGCTTACATAATAAATATTTCAGATGCAGCAAGCGATGTCCTTTCATAGCACATGTCTGCGTGTGCGTGCACGCGTATTTGCGCGTGTGAGAGCGTATTTTCGGTTATTATTTAAACAAATATACTCTTCTACATTGCCTGCGCGGGATGTGACTACCTTATTTTCACACAAAATATGAAAATGTCAAGACAGGGTCAGATAACGGTCGTGAAAATGTCAAATGTGTCAAAGGACCGGCCAGGAAAGTATTTCTATGCAAGTGAAACGTATACTAGTTCGAGAGTGGAACACATGATATTGGCGTGGTAACTAACAATGACAGGCTATGCGCTTCGCTTGTTATGCAAGTGGACTGTTCACGATTAAATGCATTCTGCCTCTAATGTCAGCGAGACAGGTGATTTTGGGGCCAGAGCGTAGTTCAGAAAGACGTTGAGGTGGCTGGTGAGGATGCTGACATGTACCACAGCACTCTGACACGCTCCGATACTACCCTGGTTTCTAATTATCATTCATGGTTTTATTTATAGCCGGCATTGCACGTGGATGATTATACATCTGTCATACCAAGACAACTAACTGCGCCAGACGGTCAGGTAATAACGATTCCATAACGGAAAATAACCGCCTATTCGTCACATCACACGTCCGTCCTATGACACGAGCGCGACTACGAAAAAACATGCTGCGATATTAATACAGTCAACCCCGTGCTTATCAGATACCTCTACAGAACGAACACCTGTTTATAAAGGACAATTTAGGTTTCCCATTGAATAACCCCTATACATATACGTATATATATACATACGTGTGTGTATATATATATATATATATATATGTGAGGTGGGGTGATCACGAGGGCTAATGAATAATTATAATGTCTCATCTTGCACGCATATAACAGCCGCTTTGTCTAGTAACAGTTATGTCCTAGCGCTCACAGAAAGCTAACCTTCCGAGGAACAGTATAATCTGCTGCCATATGAACTAATCTATTTTCCTACGCTTTGCGCATCATTGCGGTTGTAACACACTAACTGTCTGCCATTCACACGCGCCTGTATACCCACCTCCCGCCGACCACACGATAAACCCTCCCAACGGGCCATGCTTGTTAGTTGATTAGCAGTATTAATCGGGTCGATTTGAAAAGCTCGTTCTATCTATTTTTATGTGTTTGTTATATCACGTGCAAGCGTTTGCGACGTTAGCGCAAACGTCATTCAACGACGTGGAATCACGCCATCATTCATTACGTCCATATTATTTCATTGTACGTACAATATTGTATTGTATTTTCCCTTATCGCTCTGAATAAGCATCTTATAAGCACCTATGCTAGGTGTCTGTGAGACGAAGAGAGGTCGCGTGTGTATGTGTATGTGTGTGTGTGTGTGTGCGTGTGTGCGTGCGTGCGTGCGTGCGTGCGTGCGTGCGTGCGTGCGTGCGTGCGTGCGTGGTCGTGTGCGGCGTACTGTTCTTGTGTGTGTGTGGTGTGCTGTGTGGTCTGTGCTGTACATGTACGTTGGGCGCTCGTGTGTACATGTACGTGTGTGTGTCTGTGTGTCTGTGTGTCTGTGTGTGCGTGCGTGTGTGTGTGTGCGTGTGTTTGTGTATGTGGTGGTGTGTGTGTGTGTGTGTGGTGTGTGTGTGTTGTGTGTGTGTGTGTGCGTATGTCTGTGTGCGTGCGGTAGCCGTGCGTGCGTCGCGCCTGTGGTGTGGTGTGTCGTGTGTGTGGTTGTGTCGCCGTTGTGGTATGTTTGTGTATATGATGGGTGGGTAGGTGTGTGTAGGGTGTGTGTTGTTTGTTGTTGTTGTTTGTTGTTGTTGTTCCTTGCCGCTCTGGTCGCACGCCCGCGTAGACCACGTCTAACTGCAACAACAACCTTCTGACCTTTCACGCGTCCAAACATATTTCGTGCACGAATACGACTTACGTGTGGTCCGCCCTAGTTAGCCTAGTGGTATGCGTCAGACGCTAAGATCTAGATTGCGTGGCCGGTGCGGTCCTCAAGCTAGACTTGCGCCGCCTCTGTCGGGTGTGATTTTATGGAGGATCTGTAGCCGGGGAGGTGTACTCCGCATATTGACGTATATTTGTCGCCGCTATTATTGTCCCCTATTTTTCGTGTTTCATTGCCATCTTTTTGTTCCAAAATATTTTTCCTAGCCATTGTTTGCCCTTAATTTTCCCCTGCCATCTTTTTGCATCCTTTTGCCCATTGCATGTTTTTCACCGGATCGACGCGCATCTTTTGCCATTGTTGTTCACTGTCGAGGCATCTTTTTTGGGCCCTATGTTTTGCAACTGTCGAGCAATCTATCTTGCCCAATAGTTTTCACCGATAGTAATGCTATTTTGCCGCTCAATTTTCCATTTAGGTGCGAGCACTCCTTCCCCCAAAAAAAATGAGTACCCCGGGACTCTGGTAGGCGACAACTGCGGGGATTCTTCCGGCTCTAGGAAACTGTGTCATATATTATGTAACGTATATATATGCACCAATTAACGCGATGTTGAGATTTTTTTAGCACGCATAGCTCTATTGCTTATATGTGATTGGCATCACGGCGCGTGCGATCTGACTCCTTTGTGCGACTCAGCGTTTCTGTAAACTGCATACTTATGCTACTTAATATCCCCTACGATGAATTATCACCAACGTGTCCCTGTAAGGTTTAGTGATAATTCATAGTTTTCTCAGTTCCTGACGAGAATACATCGCGTAGCAAAAGCTGCATGTAATAGAAGACTTCTGTCTCTGTCGTTACTGCAGCTTGCCGGACATACTGAACTGGGCTTAGAGCCAGGCCATACCTGCATAAGCTGCTGCCTGCATATCGTCGCTACGACACTCCATACGTTACGATCTGTACATTGCCGTGAAATAATGTGCATGGCGATCGTTATATGTACAGTTACGACAGCCTGGTCACTAAGTTAGTGGTTATGTTCTGAAGTGGCTTGCCGTCCGCAATCCGACGGTAAAACACACCGTTGAATTCGTTGTAATGGCGTTAACGCGGCACTCGACGCTACAACGCCAATGTGCATCACGTTAGGCTACATGGCAGTAATCGTCTGCCACATCGCGCTGTATTGATATCGTCAGGAGTCTATCATAGATATCTTTGATATAGACTCTTGATATGCGTGGCAACGTAGTGTGATTTCAATCAGGAGCGAATAATAATAGGTTTTATTAAAATTAATTAGATTAATTCGAGATTAAATATGGATTATGTCCATTATTATTCACAACTGATTTAATGTTTCGCTAAAATTACATGAGCTGCAACGCCAATACTGTCGCATGCTACCTTCATGTCTATCATAAATCCCCAGTAACCATTTAAGTAGATAGAATATATTCGTTTCGCGTATCCGTTTAGGCTAACAAATCGATACACCGTCATTCTCGGACTTTGATCACGGGTTTACAAGCGCGAGGGTCAAACACGCACACAATGCGCACCAGCGCAAAAAGCCCACTGCGCACACGCCGTGCGCACACAGCACACCTCAGCCACACACACACCACCACCACCACACACACGCACGCACGCCCGCGCACGCACCGCGACGCCACACGAGAGACGAAAGAGAGGAAAATTGCAACGCACACACACACACAACACACCACGGCGCGCGCACGCACGCAGCCACGACGACGCACACACACAGCACACACACACACACACACCGCCCGCGTCGCACACACACACACACAACACACACACACACACACACACACAACACACACACACACACACACACACACGACACAACACACACACACACTTACGTTTACTTTTTTTATCGAAATAACGTCGCTATAGGTGCCCAAGAACATACCTATATTGAGAATTTTTTGGTTTATTTGGTGTATTTGACACATTGTTTTTCTTATTCGTCATGTTGCCTTATCAGAAACAAATGCGCGGATTCCATTGTTTTTATTGATTTTTTTCATATAAAAGCTTTGATTGTTATTCCTTATTTCCTTATCTTTCCAATTCTGCTATTTTTGATCTTGGCATAATCTCATTACGTTGAATAAAGAAGCCTGCGCTGTCTGCCTCGGTATGGTATCCTTGGCTAAAACATCAATGCTAAATATATTCTTGAAGTTCGTATGTATGTATGTATGTATAGTATGTATGTATGTATGTATGTATCTTCCTCATAGGCGGCCAAACCGCCCCAAGCCGATCTCGATGCAATTTTCACAGGCGCCATCTCTTATACTCGGGGAGTGTTCCTAGCTGAAAAAAACCTGCCAAACCGTCAAACTCACCCAAAAATCCGTGAAAAACCCCTCAATTCGTGAATCTTCACACAATGTCAGCACAGCCTATGCCTATTGATTTTCGTGCCCTCACCTCATGATCTCATCAGCTGCTGGTAATGTGAAACCGAAACCGAAATCAAAACTAAAACAGAGCATAACCGCGACCAGTTCAGAGGTACTACTCACTCTCAGTTCAGAGTTTCACTTTAGATGCTACGATCTGAGAATGCATTGTACCATTCCAAAGCTATGCATTTTCTGATTCAATAAAAAAATTTCTTAATTTCAATGTGCATGGTTGCGCGCCAAGCATTCACTAGACAATATCCAGTGGACACAGACCCCACTCGCTGGGCTGTCTCTATCTATACTATATATGGAATTTCTTTTATTCGTGCGTACGATCTCACAATGGATAGCTAGCTCTGTACGTGGGAGCTCAACAGTTGGATACGCCAGGAATCTCTACATATTTCCACCAGAGAATAAACACGAAAACATTGTTTATCAAGAGGCTTTTGAAACGAAAAGTCCAACCATTCGTGCATGCTGTTATATAACAATAGCTTTTTGTCATTTACTCCATATTTTACTGCTAGAGGGTCTGTGTCCCCCCCCCCCCCGGGGGTACTGCCGCAACGTACCCTGGTACGGTGGGGTATACCGCGAACGTACCCTGGTACTATCTAATATGCCGGACGCGTACCTCGCCTACTCCACTAACGAGTCATAGGGAGTCGCCTACGCCTACTCCCTAACCCCAACCCGAACCCTAACCCTAATCCTAACCCTAACCATATCAAATAGCCACCAGGGTACGTTCCGGTATACCTGGGGGACATAGACCCTATGAGCCATATTACTATTAATATTATGTCTCAGTGTTCTAAGTTGGGTTGTGCTGTCATATAAATGTCATACGTAACAGTTTTTCCCATGCTTATTATCTTATTAGACCGTATTTCTAAATATTATATTGTGTGCAATGTTATTGTCGATTTTTACCCAATGTTCCTACTGTGTCCCATTATTAGTATAGTAGTATGAATTAGTAGCACGATTTTACCCAGCGCAGCGGGTACCCGCAGCTAGTCTAATATATATTTGAGTTCGTATGTATCTATGTATCTATGTATGTATGTATCTTCCCTATAGGCGGCCAAACCGCCCAAGCGATCTGGATGCAATTTTCACAGGGCCATCTCTTATACCCGGGGAGTGTTCCTAGTTGAAAAAAACCTGCCAAACCGTCAAACTCACCGAAAAATCCGTGAAAAACCCCTCAATTCGTGAATCTTCACACATTGTCAGCACTGACTGTACAGTGCTGCCACATACAGAAAAAATCGATCACTCATTCCATCAGCTGCTGGTATTGTGAAACCGAAACCGAGCACCGAGCTAAAACAGAGCACAGCCAGTTCAGAGGTTACGACTGCATTGTTTTTCAACAGGCTTTGAAATGAGAAGCGCAACCCATTCGTACATGCTGTTACGTGCCGTACGTGCCATACGTGCATGCCGTACGTGGGGAGCTCAACAGTTCGAGACACCAGGAATCTTTACATATTTCCACCAGAGAATAACACGAAAAACATTGTTTATCAAGAGGTTTTCAAATGAAAAGTCCAACCCATTCGTACATGCGGTTATAATAACTTTTTGTCATTTACACCATATTACTATTATGTTCCAGGGGTTCTAAGTTGGGTTGTGCTGTCATATAAATGTCATACGTAACAGTTTTTCCCATGCTTATTACCTTATTAGACTGATTTCTAAATATTCATATTGTGTGCAATGTTATTGTCGATTTTTACCCAATGTTCCTATTGTGTCCCATTATTAGTAGTATGAATTAGTAGCACGATTTTACCCAGCGCAGCGGGTACCAGCAGCTAGTATTTCATAAACGTTCCCCCACCCCGTGAATGACTAAAAATTGTGAAAATGAGAGTAATCAATCGCTGTTGCTGTCCGGTGTACGCTGTGTAGGAGTTTGTGCTGCACAGCTACGCCGGGCCCGTGTTCGCGGCCATGCGGCAGGCGATGCACATCAAGCCTCCGTCATTCGTGCATTCCGTCTGTCCAAAAACTGCGCAGTACCTGGAGTTCATCAGCAACTCAAAAAGTGGTCAGGATTTCTATCTCACGTAAGTCTCTCCGTGTCTGGTCTGCAGGCTGGCACTTAACTAATCGTAAAAGCCGAGTGCTTCGTTATTCTATGATGCAATCTCCCCGTACACATCGGATCGATATAACTTAGACTAATGTCACTGGTGCGTTGCACATATTAGCTAATGCGACAGAAGTTATTATGCGCATAAGTTTGCAAATACATTTGCGTTTCTCACACATTTACATGGATGAATTGATTCGTGAACTTATTGCGACCCACACTTTTGCATATTTTTTTAATTTTGCCTTAGATGTTATCAATTCATTTAAACGTTCTTGATTATAATTCTAATATTATATTGTTTGCTCGCTATTTTTCATTCATGTGTAACTGTATGTTTCATTTCATTCCATACACTCTAAGGAATGACAAGCGCTATATGATAAAGACAGAAAAAGAGAAATATATCCACATATTTCTTTCTTTTCTCGGGTGAGCAGTTTTATAATAAGAATTATTATTTAATAAAAATCATTATTTAGTTATATTACTACTCAGCCCGTTTCTATTCTATGATAATGATGCATACTATACTATAAACACTTGTGTAGCCACGCGTATTATAGTAAATCATACAGCAATTGTTAAATTCACAACCAATAAAATAAGTGAGTATGCATATACTTACCTCGTAAATATCTACTATTTGATATTTACCACTGATATAGCAACCATGTAGCTTGTATGTAAATTCGATGTCGTTGCACAATATTATTAAGGAGTATCACAGCACGATCACCTAGTCACGTGCTAAAACGATTGGTGCTTCAGGGATTACATTTCTCATTTCTGGAAGTATCCTCATTCTCTGCTAGTCAAGATTCTCGGAGTCTACTCGATTAGCTTTGGAAGAAATCAGGTATTTGTTTGGCTTCTTTATTTTCTCATGCTATTTTGAAATTCTAGATGGCGCAACGGGTAACTTCAATACGGTCGCCTAATCCATTCCACGCCAATAATTACATCAGCGTGCATTAGCAAGAAATGACAGCAATCTGCTATAGACGGGCGCTACAGATGCAATTGCGGTCTTTGATGTCTTTGAAGTAATATATATTATATTCAGGCTGATACTGATTGCAAATACAATTCTGGATGGTTACTACATTAGTATGCGAGTAATCACAATTGAGTAAGGATATGGCAACCGCCCTCCCACTGCATTTTATTATATAACAGCTAGGATTAAGATTACATTCGCGCCATCGCCACAAAGAATGGCATGTTTTGTCATAACCCATGTTCTACACGGTTATATCATGTTAGCGTTGCGTATGGAACACTCCTTACATCCTGTGAATTTCATGACTAATATCGATTCTTTATAGATAGACACGGGGTGTAAATGTCACTAGGGCCTACTATTAATGAAATTATTTTATTGTTATCTTATCGCAAATTATGTGTAGATGTGCGGTCAGAAACATACATGATGCACTTGTAATTAATTCCTAATTTTCTTTTCAACTAATTGATTTTTTTGTTGTGCTGTTCATAAATTCGGTAGAACCAGGTTTGCTCCTGGCTTTTAGTTGATTATTCCACATTGACTGAATCATATAAAAATGGATGCGTTACACGCTAGCACTTTATTGTTGCTTAAAATAATCGATGTGGGAGCTTTGTTGCATGAAAAGCATACAATTTCAACATGAAATGTTTTTCTGCCACGTCACCTGAGAGTGGGGGGTTATATAAATACCTAAATCATAAAAACTCACTACAATTAAAAAAAATATGGGGTTAATTTCATTCGCTTATTGTTCGGAGTGCAAACTCGAATTTCGCAAAACGCACGGCAACATATTTGGTACAGTATACGAGTACGGTGCAGTAACTTTAGACAGAAGGATAAGCCACAATGACACTTTAGAGGAAATATTATATATAATATATTGTATTATATATTCATATTTATATTTTTTTTTTATATTCTATTTACATATGGTGATTTTATATTTTATACAGGAGGCTATTACACACTTTATAATATATATTTGGTGACCTATACACTTGAACTAATTTAATGTTTTGGTATGCGCGTGATCATGATTAAGATTTCATAGTAAAGGTTCGGTCATTACTAACCAGGTAATTTAGGATTCATACCTACTTATATTGGTTACTTCATTGCTGATCAGATATTTTATGATACATAGACGTTACTTGCAGCAATGATTACATAATAGCGATATTACCATATAGCTAAAGCTACACACACCTAGATCTATATATAGGTATATATATATAATATATATATATATATATATATATATACTACTAATATTACAATAATAAGTCTGATCAAGATGCATACGATCCCCTTTCAGCTAGGTCAAGGTGTATAAATCCGACGTACGTTCGCCTAGGCAAAGGTTCATGCTCCATAATTTCAGCTAGATCACATTGCATGTATACACCATGCTAAGATAAATACACCCTTTATTATTAACCAGTAATTCTTACAACTAGCTTAATTTAGGATTCACACTCCGCACTGTGGTTGATTTTTTGCAGTTGTTTTTCTTCGTCATGCAGAGCGTGTTCTTCCCCGATGAGCGTATTGATGACCGATTCGATCTCAAAGGCTGCTACGCGGGGCGTTACCAACAGGTGAGCAAATATATTCGCCATAGGTTATGTTCCAAGTAATTAATTAATGGTGTGCTTCTGTATTCTCCGTGTCCCGTTACAACGTGCCGGTAAGAGGTGCGTCTGCGCTCAACTGTATGCAATTTTCGTTCCTCGGGCAAGGTCGTGAACACGGTTATAAGATTGTCCGCGTGCATGCAAGAGTGAGCACGCTCTAGTACAGCAGCTAAGGACCATCTACATCTACATCTATATGGTTACGTCGATCTGTCACTCTTGACAATTACTCAACGGTTTCCGGTAAGCGCAAGAAAAAGAAAATTTGCAAATAAGAATTACATGACCAAGAATATTACACGACCATAAATCAGATGAACTGTGCAATTTTTGACAAAAGCATTAAAATTGGCACACAGGTATTTTAAGACATCTACATTCTTATGAGATCAGGTAGGCCTACCTAGAAGTATAGGTATATAATGGTAACCAGTTTGAATGGCGGTCATTTTGAAATTCAAGATTGCAGCCATCGAGTGATAATAACTTTGGTTGCAATGGGTTCAGTGACCCCGATAATGTTGAATTGCACACCAAGATCATGTTTCTATGTTAAATATTAGTTGAAATATGAAGAATAATGGATTTTAATGGCGGCCATTTTGTAATTCAAAATGACCGCCATTCAAACTGGTTACCATTATATACCTCTACTTCTAAACAACATAGTGACATTATCTTGGTGTTTAAACCAAACTTATTGGGGTCAAGGAATCCATTTCAGCATCCACAGATGGTTGAAATGCTGAAATTACTCATGATCCATGTCATCTACATTTGGCATTATCACATGACAGGTTAACCATCTGGCATCTCTAAGATTTAACTAATACTGTTTGTGCCCGGTACCAGTTGTATGTCGTCCCTAGGTGAAAAGTAGTGTGTTAATTCACTTGTGCTTCCATTTTCAATATTGATCACGACCCCATCTTCATCTTCCCATTTCATGGAACAGCGATTTCACTCACACATGCAGTTTCCCACAGCTGAAACCCAGGGGAAAGATTGTGGGGAAACAAAGATCGATTCAGTTGTTACCAACCAAATTACAATTGCCCCACTTCCAGTTAGTTACATCATGGTACCTAATGTTCCCAGGATCTAGGACCCTATTTGTGCATGTCAGGTATGGAGAGATTAAAGCTAATCAAATCCTGATCCAGGGTTAATCGTGATAGCGGTGGTGTTCATGTTGAAATCCTGCTTTATCTGCCGGAACCTAATTTCCGTAAACAGCGCCAGAAACAACATCATTTTTCCTTGTACACAGGCAGAGCCACCGGGAAGTAAAGTCATAACAGTACTAAAGGACAAGAACTTCAAAACGGAAACGATCGGGTTTGGTAAGGTTTGGAGGGAAATTATGGCTGTGGGGATGGAATTCGCGTTTCCCTTAGCTGCGCAAGAAAATGCGAACGTTTACAAACCGTGGCCACGTTTCGAATATTTTGCGGTCGTTATTTGTCAGCTATCCATGCACGAATTGTCGTTTAAGACGTAACAGAGATTAATCGTGCATATCACGATATTTAGGCATTTTCTGCTCTTTTTATAACACGCGATGAAAATGTAGTAATGGGGCAAGGAATGAATAGATGTAGGATTCAACAGCCGCGCAGTTTCAGCTTATCTTATAAATATTTTACAATTTATTGCTCAGCACAAGAAAACGCTACGGGGAAATGCATCTAGCGTTGGCCTTCTAATTTGTATAGCTTTCAGTTGGTAAAGTAACCCCATCATAAACTAAATGCAAATAAATTTATAATGCTTCCTTCGTTTGCTGAAATATGTGAAAAATCATTTCAAATGGTTCGTCTTGAATGTCACGCATATGAAAGCGATGTGCATTTTATAAGAAACGCATGTAAAGAATATAATTATAGCATGACAGCAGTAGAGCTTAGTAATGATTCTATAACGCAAGTATAACACAAGCTTTGATATGCACCGTTCACAGATTCATCTAACTTAAAGGAACAGTAGCCTCTAGGTTCTAGGGTTATTTTCAGCTAATTTAGGTTATAATTGCGCTACATAAAAAGTTTCATGGTTATGTTGTTGTTGTTGTTGTTGTTGTTGTTGTTGCGCTGGTCGACCCCGTAACCACGTCTAATGCAACAACACCTTCTGACCTTTCATGCGTCACAACATTTTCGTGCACGAATACGACTTACGTGCTGGTCGCCTAGTAGCCTAGTGGTATGCGTCCGACGCTAGATCTAGATTGCCGTGTGCCGGGTCCCAAGCTAGACTTGCGCCGCTCTGTGGTGTGTATTTTATGGAGATCTGTAGCCCGGGGGAGGGTGTACTCCGCATAGTGACGTATATTTGTCGCCGCATTATTGTCCCCCATTTTTCGTTTTCATTGCCATCTTTTTGTCCCAAAATATTTTTCCTAGCCATTGTTTTGCCCTCTAATTTTTCCCTTGCCATCTTTTTGCATCCCTTTGCCCATGCATGTTTTCACCGTCGAGCCATCTTTTTGCCATTGTTTTCACTGTCGAGCCATCTTTTTGCCCTATGTTTTCACTGTCGAGCCATCTTCTTGCCCCATGTTTTCACCGTCAAGCTATCTTTTTGCCCTCAATTTTTCCATTTAGGTGGAGCACTCCTTCCCCCAAAAAAGAATGAGTACCCCGGGATCTGTAGCGACAACCGGGGTTCTTCCGGCTCTAGAAATGTGTCAATATATATGTACGTATATATATGCACCAATTAACGCGAGTTGAGATTTTAGCAGCATAGCCTTTGCTTATATGTGATGGCATCACGGGTGCGATCTGCTCCTTTGTGCGACTCAGCGTTGTAAACTGCATATTATGCTATTAATATCCGCTACGATGAATTATCACAACGTGCCTGTAAGGTTTAGTGATAATTCACTAGTTTTCTCAGTTCCTGACGAAAATACATCGCGTAGCAAAACTGCATCGTATAGAAGACTTCTGTCTCTGTCGTTACTGCAGCTTGCGACTATGACTGGGCTGTAGAGCAGGCCATACCTGCATAACTGCTGCTGCATTCCGTCGTCGACACTCTATAGGTTACGATCTGTTACATTGCCGTGAAATAATGTGCTGCGATCGTCTATATGTACATTACGACAGCCTGTCAACCTAGTTAGTGGTTATGTTCTGAAAGTGGCTGCCGTCGCAATCGACGGTAAACACACCGTTGATTCGTTGTATGGCGTTAACGTCGGGACTCGGACGCTACAACGCCATGTGCATCACGTTAGCTACATGCAGACCTCAATCGCGCTGTATTGATATCGTCAGGAGTCTATCAATAGATATCTATTGATAGACTCTTGATATCGTGGGCAACGTAGTGTGATTTAATCAGGAGCGAATAATAATAGGTTATTATTAAAATTAATTAGATTAATTCGAGATTAATATGGATTATTCTATTATTATTCACAACTGATTTAATGTTGTCGCTAAAATTACATGAGCTGCAACCCAATACTGTCGCATGCTACCTTCATGTCTTCATAAATCCAGTAACATTTGAAGTAATAGAATATATTCGTTCGCGTATCGTTAGGCAAGCAAATCGATACACCGCATCCGGACTGATCACGGTACAAGGCGAGGTCAAACACACACACAAGCGCACACGCAAACCCACGCGCACACGTGCGCACACGCACACCTCACACACACACACCACCACCACCACACACACCGCAGTCCTTCACGCCCGCGCACGCACGCACGCCACACAGAGACGAAAGAGAGGAAAATTGCACACGCACAACACAACACACACCACACCACGCGCGCGCCGCACGCACCCGACGACGCACACACACAGCACAACACACACACAACACACACGCACCGCGCGCACACACACACACAACCACACACACACACACACACACACCACACACACACACACACAAACACACACACAACACACACACAAACACACACCCTTACCGTTTACTTTTTTATCGAAATTAACGTCGCTAATAGGGCCCAAGAACATACCTATATTGAGAATTTTTGGTTTATTTGGTGTATTTGACACAATTTTTTTCTTATTCGTCATGTTGCTTATCAGAAACAAATGGCGATTCCCATTGTTTTATTGATTTTTTCATATATATGTTGTTTTCCTTTTTCCTTTCTCATATCTCAATTCGCTATTTGATCTATGGCAAATTCTATTAATACGTTGAATAAGAGCCCTGCGCTGTCTGCCCTGGTATGGTATCCTTGGCTAAACATCAATGCTAAATATATTCTGTGAAGTTCGTATGTGTTATGTATGTATGTAGTATTGTATGTATGTATGTATGTATCTTCCCTTAGGCGGCCAAAACCGCCCAAAGCGATCTCGATCAATTGTACAGGCGCCATCTCTTATACTGGGCGGAGTCGTTCCTAGCTGAAAAAAACCGCCCAAACCGTCAAAGACTCACCCAAAAATCCCGTCGAAAAACCCTCACATTCGTGAAATCTTCACACAAGTGTTCAGCACAGCCTCATGCTATTGATTTTTCGTGCCCTCCGCTCATGCATCTCATCAGCTGCTGGTAATGTGAAACCGAAACCGAAACATCAAAAAATAAAACGGAGCAAAACCGCGACCAGTTCAGAGGTCACTACCTCACTCTCAGGTTCAGAGTTTCACTATTAGATGTACGATCTGAGAATGCATGTGCGTAGCCATTTCCAAAAGCTATGCATTTTCTGATTCAATAAAAAACATATTCTAATTTCAATGTGCAATGGTTGCGCGCCAAGCATTCACTAGACAATATCGCAGTGGAGCACAGACCCCACTCGCTGCTGTCCTCTCTATCTAATACGTATATATGGACATTTCTTTTGCTATTCGTCGTACCGATCTGCACAATGCATAGCTAGCTCGTACGTGCGAGGAGCTCAACAGTTGGATACGCCGCAAGAATCCTGCTATCGTTACTGAGACTTTCCACCAGATGAATAAACACGAACAACATTGTTTATCAGAGGCCTTTGAACGAACAAAGTCCACCCATATCGTGCATGCTGTTATATAACAATAGCTTTTTGTCATGTTACTCCACTATTTACTGCTGAGAGGGTCTGTGTCCACCTGCCCCCCCCCGGGGGTCACTGCCGCAACGCTACCCTGGGCTACGGTGGGGGTATACCGGAACGCTACCCTGGTACTATCTAATACTGCCGCGGACGCGTACGCTCGCCTTACTCCACCTACGAGTCTAAGGGAGTCGCCTACCCTTACTCCCCTAACACCCAACCGCAACCCTAACCTTAATCCTAACCCTAAACTCATATCAATATAGCCACCAGGGACCGTTCCGGTATACCTGGGGACGATAGACCCTATGAGCCATATACTATTAATATTATGTCTCAGGTTTCTAAGTTGGTTTGTGCGTCATATAAATTGTCTACGTAACAGTTTTTTCCCATGCTTATTAATCTTCATTAGACCGATTTCTAAATATTGAATATTGTGTGCAACGTGTTA